TAGGTATTTATTTAAGATTCATTAATTCAGTTACACATCGTTCCGTTAAATTTGAAATGGAAATTACTGTTATATGTATCGAGAAGCTACAGAATTAAAAAGATCGAAGTGCTATCTTGTTAATCTAGCAAATAAGACGAACGCTCGGATTAAGGAACGATCTCAAGGATTAAACTCTCCTCTCGAAAAGCTCGATGGCAGATAGAAAATACAAAGATGACACGGAGAGAACAGAAAGGGTTGGCTATGGCGCGCGGCCTCCAGGTGGACAGGTTAAAAAGCGTTGAAGCGTGTGGTTCGCAAACCGGTTCGGATCGATGAGGTCCACAGGTGCCAGACCTAGTCTCATCCGCGCAAGCGCCCCTCTCGTATCCCCTCATGCTTTTGTCCTCTCTCCTCCGCACGCCACCCAGCTTTCCAACCCCTCAAACTCTCCTCCACCACAACTCCATCCGTTTTAACCCTCTCCCTTCTCCCGTTCGCCCGGCGTTTCTCCAGATCTGTCCCCTACCACCCAGATTTCCCTTTACGTGCATACCAACCGCAAAACGCGTGAAGCCGAGATATCTGCGTAAGTTACGCACGGAACATGCGAATTAACAAATTACACGTGTTTGGTAAACATCCAAGGGGATTATCAGCGGATTAGAATTTCACGGGATTGACGAAATGAGAATTAGCGGATTTGAATGAACTTTGAAAGATATATATTCGACACCGACGTTTCCGAAACTTGATATGAGAGTTGATGAAGGAGAGAAAAGTCGAAAAGAAATTAAACCTTATCGTATTAATACAAAGGGCTGGAAAAAACTTCTGAAGATATCTAGAAAAGATTTATATAGAAGATTAGGAAGAACCTTCAATATCCATACGATACTTCTTTCTTTCGAATTTTTATGATTATTTAGGTAATAAAAACGACCAATTCTGGAGTGATGCGCGAATTTATTGTTTTATTTCAATCGAATCACGAATTACATCGTTTCGCCCATATTGGTTTCATCGAATATTTCGCTGAATTTTCATCGTTCCAAAAATATTTTCAAAATTAATTTGACCGACTCTCGACATCAAATATCGCGACGCAATTTGGCTCGCGCGTGAACAATTACAAGCTCTCATGCGCGTTGCAAGCGTAACAGCTGGCCAAGCTGCAACTCATGCAAATGTCTGCACAACGAGCGAGAAAAAGTTAATTAAGGTTGACCGGTTTTGCGGCCACTTGCCGCCGTCGTGACGCATCCGCTGTTCCTCCACTGGCGCAAGTGAAACTTTCCTCGCTGTCGCTTTACACGTCTGTGTAAAGAAGTTTGATAAAGGGAACTAACCCCTTTGTACACTGAACCATTAATAATTTCAGCTTCCGGGACATTAGACAAGTAAAATGTTAGTCATTATATAATCATCTTTTCCTAATATCCTTCAAAGTATCTTCAATAAATACATTCTTCATAACAACATTAATTTTCAATATTGATTACTGCGGACATAAATCCACTTTATAGATAGTTTATCGAGTTTCCCAAGCAATTTGAATGTTTGCAATTTTTATCCAAAAGTATAATATTACTTTTCAAGCTAAACAGATATTTTCGATAATTTTTCAAATTTGCGATAACTTTCTTTCTTTGCATTTTGAGAGGAAAGGCATGCGTGTTTAGATACGTAACTTAATCGGGTATATTCAACTGTACTTCCATACATCTAATAATATCAAATTCTGAAAGAGCATTTTCTCCCTTGAAACGTAAAAGCGCCAATGGAATTTACAAACGGTGTTAACATTTTTCGCATGTCGCGTGTATTAAAAAGACGATGAAGCTTGCTCGCCTTATTCTTATGAGTTTCTGAAATGCGAACGAAATTTATGAGACGCGCGGTATTTTCATAACATTACGTGCGTTAATACCGTAAAAGTTCATTCTTACATGGAACTTTTTTGATTGCATGGGAAATATGTCGTTGAGGTAGAGCAAAAGTGCAATATCGTGAGAGCCGTATTTAATTAAACTCTTCTTTTTCTTAGAAATGCAGGATGGACAGTTAATTAATGATAATAATATAATCGCCGCAAGTATCTGTAATTTAATATACTAAACTTTTTTGTTTAACGTTACTTTTATTACGAAAGCTCTCAAAAGTTTCAATTTACTATTTATTGTCATAGACGCAACGTGTTACATAAAAGCATCATAACGTGGATAATATTACGTTCGGTGTTATAGTATTCTATTAATACCGATTACGAATATAATGAAAACAAATAATATCTAACATTAATCGATATTCATTAATCATGAGAAACAGAAATTGACGAAACATTGTTTTATTTTGATGGATCTGCTATGCAGGCAATTAATTAGACTCAATAATACTGAATTTATATTATATTAATTATTATTGAGCTCCAGCGAGGGATATCTGTATTTAATTACACAGGTTTACAAGTTGTTACAATCGAACTGAATACGAGCAACACGCGATAAAATTTATAATCCACGCAACGTCACGGCTTATCTTGTCAGAAAAATAATGGATATCGATCAATACGACAATGATAAAATCGATAGAAAAAGATATGTTTCGTCTCAAGAATACAAAAATTGGCGGGAACGAAAGCACGGGAAAGATATCCCCCGTGAATTACTCCGAAAATTGACTGACGGAAAGAGGTTGATTCAAGCAGAAAACGTCGTAACATGAGAAATCACTCACGTCGCTCTTGAATCACTCGCTTTGGACGAGAGTAACGTCGGGCTACTCTCTAACAATGCTGCACAAAAAGATTCAGACGTCAAGAAATTCCGGAGGAATTGGAGCGCAGAGAACTCTATAGTCTCTGGGAACGATCGGAAGAGAAGTCTTCTGCAACATTATTAGTCTTACAGCAACGTTAATCTTATTACATTCATGTTTGGGAAAGGTTCTCGAAAAAATGTTGGCAAACGCCAAACTCATAACATACAACATTTATTGGATGTGATGTGATATTTATTGGAACGGCCATGGTATGTATGCCACGGAGTAATGACGTAAATACTTTTTTCCCCTGTCCTTACAAAACGAAAGAATATTATGCTAATTATAATTTTGTATGTAAAAATGTTTTTTTGTCATTAGATGAAGTTTCTAATTATTCTATTGTTTTTGTAGCACAATAATGCATTTATTTGCTAGCAGCATCATAACTAATTTGCGACGTTTTTCCATTATATCTTCCTCAAACATCGACGTTCACTTTAGAGAATATTGGCTTAATGTCGCTACCAAGCATCGCTGAATATTCATAAAACGGGCACATGACGTGAATTAGCTGGTCTACAATTTGCGCTCATATGCACGATCGATCCGTTTCGCCTGTGGCTACGCGTGTCATAAATTAATAGATGAATCCTGAAGTCCTTCCCTTTCGGAACACGTCTCGAAACCCTCAACCTCTTAATCTTATTAATAGATTTTTCGATCCTTCCTTAATCAAATCAAATTGCAACATATGTTCAAATATAATATAATTAAATAATGTTATTGAGATTTTATTATTCGCTGAGATATCCAAAATTTTATTTTTGCAATTCAATTATCAATAAATTTAGTATTAAAAATTTACGAGAAAGATTCGCTTTCATTTAAATTATTTGTAAAAAGAACTTCAAATTTACTAAAAAAAAATCTGTCACTAAAATTAAGGTCGACTCGAACGCTTCGTATATAAACGTCGGTCAACAAGGAAAAACGTGGCACACAGGTTGCCGTCATGCGTTCTACCCTTTTTACACGTCGACGAAAAGCTTGTTCAGTAAATTAATTCGCTTTAGAAAATTGGATTAGACTCGGTTGAGCGTGACGATTTTTTTTGAATTAACAATCTCAGCAATGTCGCCATCTAGAAACATACGAGGTATATATTTTGTTTGTCGAGTAGTTTTTCGTTCGAGCTTATCGTCACTAATTATCTAACATGAAATCGATGAGATTAATGAGGAAACCCCATTATTCATTCGCTTTATTCGCGAAGAAGTTAAGAGTAAAAGTCGATTTTAATTACTTAGGGATCTACATGTGGCTTTCGTCGAGTAAAAATTTGAAACTCAGAAATTAAAGAATAATCTCTTTATCCGAAAAGATTATGATATTTTATATATTTTTTTATTTCTATTATGATGTGAAAAAATTATTTTATTTTATCTTTTTATTTCTATTGCTAGAATTCCTTTTTCTTTTCTTTTTCTGACAATTTTACTGATCAGTAAATACATAAAAATTTTGTTGGCGAATTCTATGAACATAAGCAACGCATGTAGTTCGCACGCGATGCATCTGTCAAATCATCGATCTCTCTTGTCGTCATTTTATCGCGAAAAAACGCAGTAGAGAGCGTTTCGTGATCGAACTAGGGACAAAGGAATCACGTCGCTAAACTCTCGGTAAGAAGGAACGGAAGTCTGCTCGTAAATTTCTACAACGTCGCTCCCAACGACGACGCTGGTGACTATGACTCGTTTCACGATTTTACGAGCGACTGGAAACTTTAAGGCTCACTGACGCGCGAAGAATAAGACCAAGGTGAACTCATAGATATAAGACGTTTCAAAAATTATATGTCCGAATGTTATGTTTAATTTAACATAGATTTTACATATTAAAAATATAAATTACTCAACAGAGACGTTTCATGGATATATATTCCAAAAATAATATTATAAATATATAACAAAATATGTGAAATATTTCGTAAAATATTAAAAATAACTAATGATTCTCAATAAGCAGAATGTCTAAAATTGACGTATAAGATATTTCATAAAGAATTCTGAAAGATATCTTAAAATTGTCTGTTATGCGTCGATTTTAGATATTCTGTTCATTGAGTTATAGTCTACGTTAACTTACTGCGTTCAAAGATCTAATTTCTTCTCCCAGTAAAATTTGCCATTTAAATTTGTTTGTTTTGGAGTAATTGATCATTTGCATGTGTGAGCAGCGAAGTCAATACTCACCGAGTATGGTGCCAACGCTGTTGGCTATCGCCCCGGAAATAGCACCGTTCGCCAACGCATCCAGGCAGGCGCTAAGGGCGCACGCACACGCACTCGTACCTATAAGGTACTCCAGCACCATGTTCCATCCAATAATGAATGCTATTAATTCGCCTACTGTCACGTAACTGTACATATAAGCGCTGCCGGTCGTATGAGGCACTCGTACTCCAAACTCGGCGTAACACGCCCCTGTAATCACACGGAAGAAGAAAAGATATTCAGTCACGAAGAACGAGTATGCGGAAGGAAAGAGGAAATTATTCAAAAATGGCACCTACATCACTAAATCCACGCGTTAAATACGTCGAATGAATAAAATGCAAGATCGGAAAATATGTGAAAATTTTGCTGGCGAATTTCGCGAATATGAGCAATGCACATCATTCACGCACGGACGAATACCATAGTTCGGCGATAAACTAGAATAGAAAGATAAAAAATATAAGCAAATGTTGGACGGATTTAGTAATGAGACGGATGAAGTAAGAGAAAAAAATAATCCTATTTTTCTGAACCAAATCTTAATAATATTCGTATGTAGATTTTTACAAATACATTTTTTCAATTTCTGTAAATTACACGGCGATTTACTTAAAACGCAATCATACTAACTAAAGTTGGAAATAATATATAATAAAATAAATTATATTGATCAATTCATTAACAAGCACCTTAAAATACTGCAAAAAATTTATTACGAAAAATATTACCTTAGCCAGAGTTTGAATCCAAAACTCCTGACTTTCCGAGATGAATGTCTTATCAATTTGATCGACTTATGTAGAGATTGTCGCAATAACTAATAATTAGAGAAAGTCATTTTTCAAAGTTTAAATAAACAATTATAAGTGAAAATTAAAAATAAATCAAATAAAAGAAAGAATTCTATATTTGATTAAAATGGATCTTAATGCTTATTAATATTCATAGAATTTACATTTTTTCAGTTTTGTAAACTACGCGTCGATTTAGTTCGTCGGATTTTTTTTTCCATGAAAAAAAATTGCGATTCGAAAATATAGCGATCAATTAAAGATTTCACAAACTTTCACAGTGGCTACATGATAATTTTGTTACTCTGGATTTATTTGTTTTTTCTTATTGCTAAACGAATTATGCGCTTGCACATTGTGGCAGAATATTCACTACCGACTATCATCGTGTTTCCGTAATCGACTGATTAAAGCGATTCAACCTTTCAACGTGAAATTACATCGCAAGACAGTCCCCTGTGCTCAACTGGCACGCTAACATAAATGCTATAATCCGCTTACATAATCTTTTCAGAATCGTTAGAGACGGATGTTGTCTGTCCAGTTCAACGATATTAATAGCCCCGGCGGTTGAATTAGGAAGACGCCTGCACGAAATACAAGAGATCCGGGTTCAAATCCCGGCTGGGGGATTTAAACCCCATATGTAATATTTTTCGCAATAAATTATTTACAGTTTTTGGGATGCTTATTTGCATCAAATTATTAACTTCCTAAGATGCTTATTTGCAGCAATAACATTAAATTGCTTGCCAATTTAATCAAGTTCAAATCGGCGTGTAATTTATAAAATTGAAAAAATGTATAGCTTCGAATTAAAACTGTGTTCTAAAGCCAATAAATAATTGGCTTAACATAGTTGACTTAAATTGAAAATTATATAAATTTACGAGAAGTACTAGGTGCCTTCTATTTAATGCACAAGTCAACACAAGTATTCTGTTTTTGTTATACATGGAATGCAAAATAAGATAGAATGACATTTTGTCGACTTGCCACTAAATAAAAGGTACTTATTATTAAGTACGAAGAATCGTCTTTACCGAATATGACCTTTTTCACTCATATGTGTTTAATATAGTATTACGCAAAACAGAATTTGTTCTGTAGAATTACTGTCTCATGTCCTGATTTCGCGTCCACGTGGAACGACAAAGTTACCTTTGACATCAACCGCTCTCGCTATCACTTCTATTTATATATCGACGAAGTCAGCCAGCGACAATGTTAAAGAATCTACTCTCCATTGATGCTAAACTCGACATTTATGTCGCGTGGTATTACAAAATGTGCCGCCAAGTCTAAGAACAGAAAAGACGGCACGAAACTTCGCGGAAGCAAAAGTCTTGACTCTACTTTCGCGGTTATCGAACGAGAAGTGTAAAGCCTATCACGTGTATGTACATACATTGAAAGAGAAATCTTATCTTTTCGAATGTTTATTATAGTAGTTAAACGAGAACTTAACGAAAAATATAGAAAGACAAATGTGATTAATAACTCTTAAACACCTTTCGATACTCAACTTTTTTCTAATGCATTTTCAATACTTTGCCAATTGCTTATAACTTTTTTATACTAGTAATTTATATTTTTTTACTAATCTTTTACAAATCTAAGAGAACAGAGCTCTATTTTTAAAATCTTACAATTTTTCCTTGAGTAAAATTTGTTATAATTTATTATTTCCTAGTGTTTTAGTTTATTATTTCCTTATGTTTCAAAATATGACACTGTATTCTATAAAAGTTAATAAAAATACATTCACTTGATATTATTATGTCCCTGGTGTTTCAATTAAAAAAATTTTTTTACAATATATTTTTTTTTATAAAAGTTATAAGCAATCAAATTGAGTTGGATGTATACATTACAGTGTACTATTTTCATAGTGAAGCATTTAAGAGCTAAGTTTGTTGAGAAAGAAAGTTTGAAAATCGCAAACTGTACGAGATCACGTTAGACTGCCTTTAATTTGAGTACTTCGCTTCTGATTAAGCCAATATAGGATGCACGACGCGTTGCCTCCAATAATTCCGAGATTACGATAACGTCAATGATTGTTATACTACGTATCCACCGATAGGGCATCTTTATAGCAACATTCTCCTATTAGCAACACAACGAATTAATTAAACACGCCGCGATTCACCGTGTCCTAGCTTTAATCCTACTATTATTAATTCGCACGCTGCATCGATCTCTGAATATCCGCATTAATTACAGCATTATTCTATTAAATCGATAATTATCGAAAACGGCCACGAGATAACGGATCGAGATATAACGCATTTCTTTTTCGCATGTGCTTTCCATTTAACATCTTAATTTTACTTAAAAAAAATTATGTCATATCAATAGTACTATTTTAATTAAAAATAATGTTGTGAGTCACACACACGCGCGCAATACACTATTAATGAAACAAATATGCTGTTGACTTAATGGAATTTTATTTGATTCATTAATTGTTGTTAAATAAACAAGATTATTTTCAATAATGCTGTTGATACAATATCATTTTTTTTCAGTATATTTATACAGAAATTTAATACTGACCAATTTAATATTTCGATTTATTATTGAAAAACTAATTAATTACTTATTTGGAATATTAGAAATACTAAACGACAATGCTTTTAACATTTAAAATAAATAATTAATTACTGTCTTCTAATATTAAATTGGCCAGTATTAAATTTTTGTAAGGGATATATTTGATAATTGATACCTTTCTATATAAGAGATTACGGTAGAACAATGATAATTATAAAAAATTTATTTACATGTATATTCAATTATAATGTTAATTAGAAATACGAACATTTATAATGTAATTAAACCTCTCTACTCCTTAACTTATAGAAATCGAGAAATTTATCTATATATTTTTTCTTTTATTTTTTAATTTTTTTATAAGGTAATGGCATCGATTAAAAATAAATTTGAATTAATCGGTCTTTCTGCAAAGTTAAAAGAAATTTTATCTATAAGTATCAGAATGATATCTTTCTCGCTCTTTTCATATAAACGCAATACTGACGCGATTCAACAAAGCGACGAATAGTATAACTGATTGCATCACGAGGATGCAAACCGCAGCGAAATTACAGATAAAGGAATCGATAAAGGAATCGGCGAAACAGGCACGAGCAAAACAAGACTGATTGAGACACGTTCGGTCCATTCATCGCCTCCATATCAGTAGAAGCCATGCTCGAAATTTTGCAGCCGGACGAACATTGCGCCTGCAAGCTGCAACACGCACGAGATAGTTTACGACCACGACACGCGATGGTACGTTTAGAGCTTCGTATCGCACGATGAATCGTAAATTTCGTTTGATATTTTCCGCGATTGCTTTGCACGAGTCACACGATATCGATATTTGGGACAATCGAATCAGCGAGATGTTGTCGATATGACGAACGGAGTTCGGTGTCGAACGTTAAAGTACTTGTAACGGTAAACTAACACGTCGCAATGCAGCACTTACGCCTGTAACAGTACCTGCAAAGTAAATGTAAAGTATCTCTTGTATATAGTTAAAGTAAACTATTCGCGTAACAACGCGTCAACTCCGGACATGGTTTTTAATTGTCCCGCTGGTGTCCGATTTCTAAAAAAGTTTCTACGCAAGAATAAAAGGAAGATTTTATATATTAAAATATTCTATATATTAAAATATTGTAAAAGAAAAAAACAATTGTAGTATATGAATATGGTATACTGTAACTATATTTATGTAACTGTAATTGTAAATAATTGTAATTGTAAATAATTTCTAACTTTCTGTTGGTCATATGAAATTTTGCATCTTTCAGCAACTCAGATCATTAAGTTTTAATAGATTTTTATATTGATTTGAACAGTACATACAAATCTGAAAAATTTTTTCACATTTGAAAATTTTAACAATGAATTTTTATTATTGTAAAAGTCGAATTGCATTTTATTTATTATATTTTTTACAGATTAAAATTGATCTACCAGAATTTACAATCAAAATATTGATTTCAAAATCCAGTTCAAAATTTGGCTGGCAGAGAATTAAATCATCCTGCGGAAACTACAAACATTTAAAGGAAAAGTTAAATAAAATTGACGATTAATTAACAATTGTAGAAATCTTTTTTCAAAGGAGATATTCCAGTTATTTGACTTTAAATACAATAATTAATTCATATATTATCAATATAAACTATTTTTATTAATTAATTTAAAATACAAAACTTTTATCTTTTGGATCATCAGCCGCACACAGAAGCAATGTCAAACGAGTTTCATCTTTCTGTTTAAAATTATAATATGTATTAATAATATAAATTATAAATATATAAATATTAATTATTACAGTTTGAAGCCAAATAACCTTTAAATAAAGTCTTCTGTAATTGATAAATAATTATTGGCTTCAATTAATTTTTCTCTTAGTATTCGCAGTTGCTCCACTCTCCTATAAATAAAAAACATAGAAAACATGCAATGATTATTACAATGTAACTTATTTTAAATAGCGTGTGCATTCTTGGGTTGTTACATGTGTTACATTGTAACACATTGTGTTACATTGTAAAAATATATGATTATCACTGAGTATGTGAAATCAGAGATTATTATTACTCCAATAATTATTACTGCAATAATATCGATCACATTCACACCTTATGAAAAGAACGATTTTGTTGAATTATCTATAAATTTAACTAAATATCTACAGGAAATCATTTTGTTGAACTATCTAAATAATTATATAGCAATTTTAAGCAATGCTGCAAAAAGTTTTGACATTCCAACTAGTTTGAGTGTCCTGTATAATTATTTCAATCCGACAAAATTATTATCAAATCTATATCTAGTTGATATTTCAGTAAAACCATCCTTTCTATGTATTCTCCCCTACTCAAATTATTTACGAAATATGATTTCTTTTATTTCAATTCGATTCTCGTGAAGTCTCTTCAATGATATTGAACATTAAAGATATTTACACGATTCTGCAAAATTACGCTTTTTTTTTTAATTACGTAATTTGAATCTGCTCATGGCATTGTGGAGTTGACAAATTCATACATAATACGTCTACATACATCGATTGCGGAAAAATTTTCCGTATCATATATCCCGTCACCGAAATCCATATTTTTGTAGAATAAGCTTCTTATCTGCGGCCACATCGTGGACTACAAATTCCTTCGAGTTTACTGCAAGCGAGAAAGATGCCTGACTTATCGCGCTGCTGAAATTGTCTCAGCAAGGAAATCTTCCAAAAGAACCATCACCTCGTTTTACAACAGCAATCATGCAAGATATGTAATGCATATTTTATAAAGGAATTTACCTCGCGAGTAGCTCTCTTGTCGCTTGATCACATGAGCTGTATGTAGCAATGATTTAGTGTTTAGCATGCAAACGTTTCATTTATGCATCTTTCAGATAGTTTGACTGCTCGAGGGTAAGTAAGATTTCAATTATCATTATAACTTGCAGGTGTATGCGTTCATATGTCATTTAATTACAATCCTATGTCAAAATTGATTGTGAGTGAAGAAGGCGAAAATATATACCCGGAATGATATGTTGAAAGAACGGTTTTGCTGAAATTTATCTAAAAACTTAGCTAGATACAGATCTGAAAATAATTTTGTTGGATTATCAAAATAGTTAGTAGAACCTTTCAACATATTGCAAAAAATTTTAACATTCTAGCAATCAATTTAAACATCCTATATAATTATTTTGATGATCTAAAACAGTATATCAGATCTGTACTTAGCTAAATTTTTAGATAGTTCAGCAAAACCATTCTTTCCGTTCATACATGAGAATTAGATAAATATTCAGACGTATGTACTCGGATAATGTTTGATCTTCCGATTAAACATTTACTTATTCGCAACTGTCATACGACTCATACATCATCGTGTCTAGTCAGAAATATTATTCGCAATCGTCCTCGTCGAACCGCCCTCGTCGAAGCATTGACATCACACCCACATAATATGATCGACATACACGTGCTTGTCCATCGTTAAATTGATCGTCCTTAAAAATAGTCGGAAATCCTAGCGCCAACGGTTAAAGGCCACTTCTACCCTCGTTCTTATCCCTTCTCTCGCGTTTCTTCGACGAGATTGTGAATCACAGCAAAAATAAATTCCTACTTTCGTATTCCGCTCGCGTGGACCATGCAAAGTCGGCGCCCCGTACGAATACATGTATATACGTGTGCAAGTATCGCGTAATAACGCGGTAGAATCACGGTGGGATCATATGAGGAAGGCGCGACCCGCGACTACGATCGCAACTTTGAGGAGCAACTTTGATGTGAAAAAGTCGTCGACCTGATCTTAGACAATGTCGAACGATTAAATTCGCGATGTTGGATATGTTTAGGCAACGCAATCGATCTTGACCAATAAATCCATCTAATATTAGTGTTAGACGATATAAATTCAAGGAACTGAAATATCTAAAAATTTTGCTAGATAAAAATAATTTTGCTTTGATCATCAAAATAATTATGTAATAAGTATGTAGATCGTTTAAACTGATTATTATAACATTAAAATTATATTAAAATTCTAATTCTAATAAAATTATAACATTAAAACTGTTTGCAACATTGGCTGCGTTCAGAGAAAACTAATCAGTTAGAGCTTAGTACGTGATTCTTTAACATGATTGATTCCTATACTTAGATCCAGCAAAGAACTAAAAGAAAAACCAATCATATTAAAGAATCACCTTGAGAATCACCAAACGCTAACTGATTAATTTTTTTCTGAATGCAGTAAATGCCATCAACGTTCAAGCGTTCTACATAATTATTTTGATTAAACAAGATTATATTTTGATTCAACAAAATTATTTTCAGATCTGTATCTAGCTAAATGTTTAGATACTTTAGCAAAACGGTTTTTTCTGTGTAAGTCGTTTGAAATGAACACGAATGCATGGCATTTTATGGGTATGTATAGCAAAAATGCTGCAACATTATAATCAATACGGTGCTCTTGTTATCGTGCTATCTCGCCTAATGATTCTCGAGAAGAAAGCAATTCTTCTTTTTCTTATTCCTTTTTAGAAAAAATATAATACTTACCGGAAAAAATGGAAGCAATGGCTGCGATAATGAATGAGAAGACGACACCAGGTCCGGCAACGCTGCGCGCCACCATTCCTGCGACAAGGTACATCCCTGTCCCGACGCAGGAGCCAACTCCTAAAGACGTCAGGTCCAGAGTCGTCAGGCACTTCTACAAACAGTAATCGTTTTGAAAATGTAGAAAAGCTGTATGTTTAAATAATAGAGCAGACAAAATTTTTTAATGAAATTAAATCATATGACTAATATTCCAATAATGTCAGGAAGAATTTATCTACCATTTACACGATTTTTAATAAAGAAAATTACCCTTTTCTTTAATTTTGATGAGCTTTTATGTTTTGAATGTTAAATTAATGCATTAACTTTTAATACTTAAAATCATATACAAAAGTGAAAATGTTTCAATTCGATACAGAGTCTCTATCAATTCATAAGTTAATAATAAGAAAAATTAATAATAAGAAAAAAATAATATTTGAATGTAAAAAGTTATATTAAAACTAGACTATCAATTCAATAATATGATATAAAAGTCGTGGAGATGTCTGTATTTTATGATTTTAAATATTAAAATTTTAAATATTAAAAGTTAATGTATTAAAAGTTAATACCTAATTGTTCGATTTTGATTGTTTTTATATAATATTTTTGCAAATTAACGAGCCTACCGTCTATTTTCTTTAATTTAATATATTGTAGTCTAGATAAATAAGAGACATGTACTTTTTATTACATGCTCTTTATTTTAATTTGGACTACAAATTAAAAGCTTATCCAAATCGAAGGAAGCCACTTCCTTATGTTTTTTGTAAATATAAGATTCTCATCTCTACGCTAAAAAAATCCCTTTAAGGAATACTTTTTGAAACAAATATTTATTTCAATTACGTTAACATTAAATTGCACTTTGTAACACGTTAATCTATTTTCACAGGCTAGAGATAGTAGAGATAGAAATATATTATTCGTTATTTTATCCGAAACAATTAACCTAAATAAAAAATAATTCCGGAGAGTGATTTATTTTAGTATTACATCGAAATTGTTTTTCTTTACAATCAAAATAATTGACCTAAATAAATTGTTTGGAACATCGTTTTTTATTTTATATACCTGGCAAATTCCTATACTTTATTTTGTCCAGGTCATGTCCTTCTTTAAAAATCAGTGAATTGTCGTGGAAAGATGTTTGATATCGCACAACCATTATCTTTAATCGTAACGTCAGTTTAAATACGTAACGATACAGTAAATGATGCAGCGATCAGAGACAGAAAAGAGCAAGGAACGTGATGTCGTGTTATTGCCATTTTACAAATAGATACGATGGGGATCTTTCTGCGGCGTTCTGCAACCATATGCATCTTTGAAGTTAGAGTAGATACAATTGAGGCTTCTAGTCGACTTCTTTCTAGAATGTCAGTGCCATTTTTGCAACTCGCCTCCGATAGTTATTAATAACGCAAAGCCCTTCGGGGGAGATTCTTTCTCACACCGGCTATTGGAGTTTCTAAAATGCTTGGCACGGATAAAAATAAAGTAATCGTGAAGAGTTATTCCTGGTGGGCACGCGTAGTGTTACTTAACATTACTTTATAGTGCGAATCTTGTCCGACTCTAAATGGTACTCTTTTATGCTGACAAAAAAAATTGTTCATTTGACTAAATTAATTTAGTTCGTCTTTATTTCTTTTGGAAAATGTATATATTTAAGTCAAATATAATATATTTGATTTAAATACATATATTCTCCAACAAAATGAATTAAATTAATTTAATCAAATGAACAATTTTGTTCTCAGTGTTTATAATTCAGAAATGTCTCGAATGTTCAAGTCAAATAAGTCGAATGATAAGTCGAATAAGTAAAATAGATAGATCGGATTTATCTATTTTGTGTAATCGAATGTTTAAATTGGATGTATCCATTTTATAATTAATCGTCGCCTTAATATGTCTGTGAATTAGAGTTAGCTAGTCACGCGGATTTAATAAAGTTTCTCGTATTTGGAGATTCTCGAAGAATAATGTCATGATAACGATGCCTATCCGCTTACTCAAGTCGCGATTGCATAAGTGGTGGAACAGCGATTTTGCGTACACAGCAAAACGAGTGCCAAGAACCAAGAACTACATCAACCAACTTATTTTACTCAACAAGATATTTAATAAAAACAAATACATTTAATAAAAACAAATAATAACAAACTTAAATTTTTAATGCTTTATAATATTTAATGCTTTATAACAGAAAATCACATGAAATATTCTTTACCGTCAAATGGATTTTAACATTTTACTGCCATGTCACCCATGATGATTAATATGACCGATGTGAGGTCTCGATTTTGGAGGGACAGACTCGGTTTCGGAATGCTTGTTCACTATTCCAATAAATACATCCAATAAAAAAAAACGAAATGTACCGATTATATTGCGAACAAAATATTGCAAAATACCGCCGAAAAATATTTTATAAATTTTTCCAAATTGTAAAATCATATAGAAGTATATTACTGCTTTCAGAGAAAGTAATACAGTAGTTGAATGAGTTTTTGTGTAACGAACGAAGTGTAGGCAGTAGAAAAATTCAACTTTGAGTTTATATTTTAAATGCGATATCAATAAATTAATTAATTTTGATGGTTTTAATTGACACGAATTTTATACATTTCTTAAGAATTCATCTTCCTTAAACAGATAATTTAAACTGATAAATATAAATAATAACATTATTTTGAAAAATAAATTGCTATTATTATATTTATTTATTATATTTATTTTTTTGTTCGAACATCCTGTCTCCCGCTTAACAAAGTTTCGATCCGAAAATATCTCACTATTCATGATGATATGAGTAACGCGTAAAATTTTCAATTAATTGTAAGTAATTAAAATATTAAAGAAACAATGTAATTATATATTAAAGTTGTAAAAAAATTAAAGTAAAATTTTAAAAAATAATGTACCTTATAAGCTTAATGTTAAAATCACATGAAGAAGTGTTAATCAAGAATATATATTTAAAACCTCGTAGACTTGTTTTGGTATTGCATAAAATAATTTTAATAATTTTGCTGGATTGAAATATATATTATTTGAATTGTAATTTGACAATGAACATACGCTTTTATTACTATACATATAATAAGTAAC